CCCCCCCCCCCCCCCCCAACCATCCTCCATCCCAGGAGCTGCCCGGGGACCCGGAGCATTCCCTCCTCCTCCGCCAGGAGGTAGAGCGGCTCCTCTCCCTGGGAGCTGTGGAAAGGGTACCTCGGAAATTCCAGGGCAAGGGATCCTACTCCAGGTATTTCCTTATCCCGAAGGCGAAGGGCGGGCTTCGGCCCATCCTCGATCTGCGGAATCTCAACCAGTTTCTGGTTCGTTGCAAATTCCACATGGTGTCCCTGGCCTCTATTATTCCATCCCTAGATTCCCCCGCCTCCCATTGTGAAGGCTCATTCGACGAGACCTCAGCCTCATCAGCGGCCTATGTGGCTCACGTCCCTATTCAGGACATACGTAGGGCTCCTACGTGGTCCTCTGTCCACACCTCATCGCACTATGCGATCGTCTCCCAAACAAGGGATGACACAGGGTTTGGTAGGGCGGTGCTCTGCCTGGGTAACCCTTAAAACTTAACACTTAAAACTCCTACCCACCTCCGTCAGGTATAGCTTGGAGTCACCTACTGTGGAATACACAGGAGCAATCACTTGAAGAAGAAAGCACAATTACCTGTTCCGTAACTGGTGTTCTTCGAGATGTGTTGCTCAGGTGTATTCCACGTCCCGCCCTCCTTCCCCTCTGTTGGAGTTGTCTGGCAAGAAGGAACTGAGGGTGGGGGGAGCATGCAGCCCCCTTTATGGTGCGATATGCCAGCGCCACGCCAGGGGTCGCAGCAGTGCTCCCCCACTATGGATACTGCTAAGGGGAAAACTTCCGGCACCGGTGCACGGGGCGAGCACGCAAACCTATAGTGGAATACACTTGAGCAACACATCTCGAAGAACGCCAGTTACGGAACAGGTAACTGTCCTTTTCAGGGCCTGGGGGCGGTTGGACTGTAGAGCCCACATCCCAAGGGAGGGCTCAGTCAAGGGATGAGACAACCTGTCACTCCTCAGTGCTCACCCCAGCACCCCCAGCTATTCCAGTCCTGCCCCAACTTCTTCCCAGATCTGCTAATGCCCCTCAGTCCTCACCCCAACACCCCATCCCAGCCCTGGGCTTCCCCAGTGCATCTCAGGGCTGGATTGCATTGTCCCTTTCTGCCCCCAGCCAGCTCTTCAGCCCCGAGTGAGCAACACTCTCCCAGGAGTCTGCTCCCTTGAGTTCTGCGTCTCCCCCTTTCTCTCCCGGCTCAGATGCTCCTGAAGGCGGCAGATGGCTCTGCGCTGAAGAATGAGAAGCTGCAGCTCTTTGTTAGCTATGGAGATAAGAATAAGAACCAGACCTTCCTGACTGACGAGTCTGGCAGAGCCTCCTTCGAGCTGGACACCTCTGGCTGGACCAGGAGGGTCACTCTGAGGGTAAGTGACGGGCCTCCAAGCCCCAGTGGGGTCCCCTACACTCCAGCCTCTGTTGTTGTGTCTGTGATTTTTGATGTTTATTACGGTGGTGCCTAAGGAGCAGCCAGGATCGGGGCCCCATGGTGCTGGGTGCTGCACACGCTCAGCATAGCAAACACCCCTGCCCAAAGCTCCTGCAGACTGAATAGCCAGGACAGACGGTGGGGGGTGGGGGGGGGGAGGCGCAGAACCCACCAGCAGAGCCATCAATGGGATGATGCAAACGGCATCTTAGTGCCACCACTTGTCTTCTCATTAATATTTGGGGTGGGGTTTAGTTAGGAAGGTCGCCCCCTTCGGGCAGCTCAGTTCAAGGGCTGCCCCATTGCCAATGTCGGGCTGCCCCATTTGAACCGCTGGGATTTTCCATGTCGCTCTTACGGACGCAGGGCGAGGGGCCATGGGGGTGAGCTCAGCCGGCAGCATCAGCGCCTGGCCTGTCCCGGCTGCATTCCTGTCCTGTGCTGGGTGCTCTGCTCCCCAGCAAGCCCCATCGCTCTCTCTATCCCCCAGGGGTGCTTCAAGCAGGTGTATCACAGCTTTGTGTATGGGAGAGTCTCTCCCAGTTATCTGGATGCCCATCGTAACCTGGAGCCCTTCTACTCCAAGAGCCAGAGTTTCCTGAAGATCCGCTCGCTGGGAGGGGTGCTGCCCTGCGACCAGGCCCAGCAGCTCCAGGTGGATTACGTCATTGCTAGGGAGGCCCTGGGGAAGGGGTCCAGGAGCCTGGATTTCATCTTCCTGGTGAGCCCGTCCTGGGAGACTAAAGCGTGTGTGTGTGTGTGTGAGCATGAGGTGCGAGTCAGCGCTGTGACCCCACAGCAGACCAGTGGGGAATAGAACCGTTCCTTTGAATTACAAGGGTGGGGCTAGATCAGGACGGGGCTGTTCCCCTTTCCCCACTAGGGGCTCTGGTTCCAATCTGGCCCCAGAGCGGGGGCTGGCTGGCCTGGGGGGGCTGGGGAATGGGATACATGCCTGAATGTTCTTTCTTGCTCCCCCACCTCTGCTGACTCAGTCCATGGGTACGAGAGGCCACACCCTGCCCTGACTCCACCCTGCATAGCCATCCCCACGTCAGGGCATTTGTCAGCCCCCTGTATAGCATCAACTTGTGACCCAGTGTGCCTGGGGCAGCCCTCACTGCAAATGCCAAGGTCAGGACAGGCTGTAAAAAGAAGAGCAGATTCTCCCAAAACTGGTGCTTCGCACTGAACTTGGACTCACCAACCAGTCGCAAACTGCTCCTGATTCCCCCCCACACGTTGGTTATCTAGAAGCTAAAAAAGAAATCACACAGCCCCCTCTACTGCATTCCAGTTCTCTGGCCTCCAATCAGCACCTAGGTCCAGGACAGTGAGAAGTCATTTAAAACCTCTGCTCACTACACAAAATGTTCTTCTGACCCCAAAGGGTCAGCCATGTCACCAGGCCAATATTAGTTTGGATCTTACCCAAAATACCACGCTGCCAGCCAGTCCTTTAGTGTCTGAAACGAAAGGTTTCTTATAAGGAAAAAAGAAAGAACAAGAAGAGAGTTGTTAAATGGTAAAACAATCACATAGAAACAGAGACTTCAAAGTCCATATATCAGGTTCTGAGCAGTACTGGTGAGTTTGCTGGCTTGAAAGTCCCTCTGGAACAAATCCACAGCTTGGATGGGTCGTTCAGTCCTTTGTTCAGAGCTTCATTTGTAGAAAAGTTACTCCAGAGGTAAGAAGCAGGACTGGAGACAAAATGGAGAAGATGCAGCTGCCCTTTATATTCCTTTTGCCATGCGACTGGTACTTCCTTTGTCCCAAACACAAGCTGCACAGCACATGGCAAGGAAAAGCCTTAGAGTTCTTTGTCCACCAGCCTGCCCCTACATGCCTTGCTGACTCCTAAGGTGTAGCCCCTAGTTCCTTTCAATGGGTTCACTGTCGGGCTGATGACCCGTGATGGGCCATCGAACAGGCTCGGCAGTGCTGATGCCAATCTGTCTGGGGGTGTCACCCGGAACCACAGCTTGAGTTTTGAAATACACATGTACCACACAGACCTAGAACACAATACAAAGGTGATACAAACATATAAACAAGATCATCATACTTGGCAAATCACACGACTTTCACAGACACCTTCCATGGCATATCTGGTCAGATTCCCTGCAATTTTCTAATGTTGGTATCAACAATACCATAAAGTGTCTCCCAGATTCCACACAGCGTCACACAGCTCAGTGACCCCCGTCTCCTCCTCCGCAGGTCGTGGCCAAGGGAGCCATCGCCAGGATCATCCACAAGGGGCTGGACCTCAGGGTGGGGGCTGGTAAGTAGCGGGGGAGGAGTCTGTGCAATTAGGGGGTGCCCAGGGGGCAACTGGGGTTTGAGCCCCCTGAGCAGGGGCCGGGCTGGGGGAGGGGGCTCTGCTGGCTGGGCCTGACTTCCCCTGAGTGTTTCCCACCATCCCTAGGGCTGAAGGGCTCCTTCTCTGTGGAGCTGCCCGTCGGCGCTGACCTGGCGCCCGCTGCCAAGGTGCTGGGTTACACGGTGCTGCCCGATGGTGAGATGGCTGCCGACCGCGCCCGTCTGCACATGGCCAAGTGCCTCCCGAACAAGGTGAGCCTGGGGCTCGGGGCCGAGGAGCCTCTGGGTTGGGGAATCGCTCCCTGCCCCATAACAGGAGCCCTGAGCAGGGGCATTGCTCGGTGCCCCCAGCCCCTCCCTTCCCCAGCCTTACAGCAGCACCAGGGTCATTGCCAGCTCTGGTGAATTGATCACTAGCCATTTCGCCCCTGCCTGCAGGCGTTCCCGCGGTGACGGGAAGAGCTCTGGCCCCCGCAGAATGGAGGAGCAGGTGCCTGCCCTGCCCTCCTCCCATTCCACTCTCCCTGGCCCCAGCAAGTACCTGCTCCCCCAAACCCTTCCTGCCTCCCCCAGCCCACCCTGCTTCCCCCGCGGACTCAGCCTCTCACTCCGGGCCCAGCAGGTACCTGCTGCCTGCCTGTCCCACCCCTCGCCTCCCTGTACCCAGCTCCCCAGAGCTCCTGCTTCTGTCCCTCCCATTCCACTGGCCAGGACCCGGCCCCTCCCCGGCCCACTCTGGGCTCCCTGGCAGGTACCTGCTGCCCTGAGCCCTCCCCACTCCCCAGTCTCTGCAGCCACTTGCTCCTCCACCCCCCAGAACTTCTGCCACCTCAGCCCTACCCACTGCCCATCCTCCAACCTGCGCCTGCCCCTGCTCACCCTGGGAGATTCCTGGGGCGGGGGGCAGGGATATGATGGTCTGAGCCCCCTTCCCCTCTGGAGGCTTGCGGGGTGGCCAGCTGGCCATATTTCTTTAGAGGGCTTCTAAGGGGGCCGCTGCCCCTCCAGTCGACTGGGGCACAAGTGTCATGAGGGGAGGGGCCCCTCTCCTCCTCTGGGCCGGCAGCCGGCTCCCACTCTTACCCAGCTGAGCAGTAGAAACTCCCTCCATGAAGGCTGGGGCTCCCCTCTCTGGGCAGCCGGCAGGGGCACGTCCCTGTCATTGAGAAAAAGCTTTCACCAGGGACCAGTGTCAGCCCCCTCCCCACTGCACATAGGGGTCAGTTGGGGGGAAGGCCCTTCCCCTCTTGGAGTAAGGAGGCAAAGATACAGAATTCCTCCTCTACCTCTCCCCTCCATCTTGTGGGGTCTGGCTGAGTCCTTCTGCCCCCTCCCACTTCACCCCACTGCCCCGGGGGTAAGTGTGACCCTTCTGCCTCCCTTCCCCCAGCCCGGGGAGGCAGTGCACTGTTACCCGGAGGCATTTCAATGCCCCCCTCGGCAATGGCGTCTGTCCCCCCCCAGCAACTGGCATCTGCTTGGTACTGGCCTCATTGCTCAGCCTTCAGCCGACCCCCCCCCGGGCAGTGCTGTGCGTCTTCAGACACACTGAGGGGGGGAGGCTGGGAGCGGACAAGCCAGAGGACAGACTGCAGCCCAGGGCTTCGTCCTCCTCCAGAATCTCAGGACTTTTCGGGGGTCTGATTCATGAATTTTAGCTGGTGGGGCAGGCGATCCTGTTGTATCCCTCCCACCCTGCACCTCCTACCCCCTCCCCCCGCCACGGGGTGTCTATGAATAACTGCAGCTCCCTGAGCCGTCCCACGGGGGCACTGAATGAGCCTGGGCTGCCTCGACCCCCCACACCCAACAGTGATCCCCAAAGCCCCAGCCCTTCAGCCAGCGGGGCCTGGTGCCAGAGTGACACTCGGTGCCTGCCCCCGCCCCTGCCCGGGCCTGTCTCCTCCTGCCCCTGGGGGTCTCTCTCCCCCTCCCCTGTGACGCCCTGTGCCTCACCAGGTGAAGCTGGCCTTCTCGCAGGACCGGGCCCTGCCGGGCTCAGAGCTCCAGCTGCGGGTGCAGGCTGCTCCCGGGTCCCTGTGCGCCGTCCGCGCCGTGGATCAGAGCGTGCTGCTCATGAAGCCCGAGGCCGAGCTCAGCGTCCACATGGTGAGTCCAGAGCAGCTCGGCTGCTCGCCCGGCCCCTCGCCCGGCCCCTCCCGACGAGTCCTCCCCCCTCGCAGGGAGGGGCGATGCACGGCTGCTGGGGGACACCCCTCGAGGCCGCCTCTCCCCGGTCTGGGGGCTGCTCCCATGGCACTTGACAGCCCCTAACTCTGGGGGGTCCCTGCCTGCCTTGCCTGTTCTCCCATCAGCCCTTGCAGTGCCCCCCCTACCAGCACCCCCTCACCCCGGCTCCGGCTGGGAACATGGAGCTCGGAGCTGAGATAATAGCCGGGGTAACCGGAGCTCGCTCTCCACGGCAGAGCTGGTCCCCAGGGGTGGGGGCAGGAGAATTCCCTGCCCCCATGTACAGCAGGGAACAACTGGCCAGGTGCATTGTGGGAGTTGTCCCTTCCCCGGGTGGATACGGAATCGCACTCGGCCCATCGCTGGCGCCTGCCGTCCAGGGGCTCACGGGCTCTGCACATGGCGAGAAGCGGCACCTGCCCTCCCCCTGCCCCAGGTTCTCCCAGGGCGTTGGGATCCACGGGTCCCTCTCCTAGGGTTGGGGGGGGCAGTGCAGGGACAGACGCCCACCTGGGGGATGGGGATGGGGGCTGGGCAGGGTGGGGGGAGGTGTCCAGGCTAGAGATGAGTCTGGGGCAAGAGCGGAGGTTTGTGGGGTGATGTGTTAGTGGGAGGAGGGGCAGGAGCTGGCTCTGGGGTAGCTCGTGTCTTGGTTTCATGCCTGATGTCGTCTGTGTTTTGTCTTTAGGCCTATAACCTGCTCCCCGATTTTCCCCAAGGAGGCTATCCTGACGCAGTGCAAGAGCCTGAGCCATGTTATGATCCTCCCCAGCCTCAAGCTCCAGTTCATCACTGCCGCGCCTTAGGTGACCAGTGGAGGTGTCGCAGAGGGACTAGCAGCTGGACTCCCCCTCGGCATGATGCCTACCACCTGTTTAAGGTAGGGTTGGGCCTGGCCAGGCCTCACACTCCTCTGTAGCTTGAAAGGACTAAACTGGCTCCGATGTGCCCAGAGCTGCTGGCATCCAGGGGCGAATCCCACCAAACAGTCCGGCCTGTTCTAGTGAATCCTCAGGGATGCTCCTAGCAAACTGAGGCCTGGGATACACCTCCCCAGCCACCTTCAGACACGGCCCAGGCCCTGGGACAGATCCCCGGCGTATCCAGGGAGCAGGAATGCCCCATCCCGCCCCACTCCTGGGCACAGGGGTATTACCTGCAGGGTTGGCAGCGCCACCTCCACTTACGGTTCTCTGGCACTTCCTGTTAGAAGTTTTCAGAGACTCATAGAGTCATAGACTTTAAGGTCAGAAGGGACCATTATGATCATCTAGTCTGACCTCCTGCACAACGCAGGCCACAGAATCTCACCCACTAACTCCTGTAACAAACCCCTGACCTATGTCTGAGTTATTGAAGTCCTCAAATCGTGGTTTAAAGACTTCAAGGTGCAGAGAATCCTCCAGCAAGTGACCCGTGCCCCACGCTGCAGAGGAAGGCGAAAACCCCCCAGGGCCTCTGCCAATCTGCCCTGGGGAAAAATTCCTTCCCGACCCCAAATATGGTGATCAGCTAAACCCTGAGCATGTGAGCAAGACTCACCAGCCAGACACCCAGGAAAGAATTCTCTGTAGTAACTCAGATCCCACCCCATCTAACATCCCATCACAGGCCATTGGGCATTGTAACAATGCTGGTTCTGGCGGGACCCAACTGAGAGTGCCAATTCAGGTCAAATTGCTTAAATAGGGCAGTTACAGCCCAAGGCTGGGGTTTTTCCACCTCTAAGGCAAACCAAACCAGCCAGACTAAGAGGACTTTGGTGTCACCCCACTGGCTAACCACAAGTCACACAAGCAATTCCCTCAGACACTCCAGTTTCCCAGTATCACCACCAGTGCCACTCGTTATGGGGACAAATGGTTATGAAAACCAATACCCCAGTAAAAGAAAAAAGGTTCTCCTGATCCCAAAGGATCAAGCCCCAGGCCCAGGTCAATATACAAATCAGATCTTACCCACAAATCACACTGTTGTCAGTCCTTTAGAATCTAAAATCTAAAGGTTTATTCATAAAAGGAAAAAGATATAGATGAGAGTTAGAATTGGTTAAATGGAATCAATTACATACAGTAATGGCAAAGTTCTTGGTTTAGGCTTGTAGCAGTGATAGAATAAACTGCAGGTTTAAAATCAAGTCTCGGGAATACATCCACAGCTGGGATGGGTCATTCAGTCCTTTGTGTAGAGCAGGGGTAGGCAACCTTTCAGAAGTGGTGTGCCGAGTCTTCATATATTCACTCTAATTTAAGGTTTCGCGTGCCGATAATACATTTTAAGGTTTTTAGAAGGTCTCTTTCTATAAGTCTATAATATATAACTAAACTATTGTATGTAAAGTAAACAAGGTTTTCAAAATGTTTAAGAAGCTTCATTTAAAATTAAATTAAAATGCTGATCTTAGGCCACCAGCCTGCTCAGCTCGCTGCCAGCCTGGGGTTCTGTTCACCTAGGCCGGCAGCGGGCTGAGCAGGGCCTATGGCCGGGACCCCAGACCTGGGGGGGGGGTGTTTCAGGGATCAGGGCAGAAGGCTGGGGTATGTATGGGGGTTCAGGGATCAGGGCAGAGGGCTGGGGTGTGTGCGGGGTGCAGGGCAGAAGGCTGGGTGTGGTGAGGAGTTCAAGGGTCAGGGCAGAGGGATGGGGCTGTGGGGGTACAGGGCAGAAGGCTGGGTGTGTCTTGGGGTGTGGGGGTGCAGGGCAGAGGGCTGGGTGTGGGGAGGGGTTCAAGGGTCAGGGCAGAGGGCTGGGGGTATGGGGGTGCAGGGCAGAAGGCTGGGTGTGGGGAGGGGTTCAAGAGTCAGGGCTGGGTGTGGGGAGTGGGTGGTGCAGGGCAGAAGGCTGAGTGTGGGGGGGTTCAGGGCAGAGGGCTGGGGGAGTGGGGGGTGCAGGGCAGAAGGCTGGGTGTGTGTTGGGGTGGGGGGTTCAGGGCAGAAGGCTGGGGTGCTTGACTCATGGGGGTGCTCCCATCCTCCTGCCCTGAGCGGCTCATGGCAGGGGGCTGGAAGGGATATGCCCTGTTCCACCCCTTTCCCCCAGGCTCTGTCCCTACCTCTCTCTGCCTCCTCTACGGAGCTGTGTGCACGCTGCTGCTCTTCCCCCTCCCCCTTGCTAGGGCCATCAGCTGATTGGCGCAGGGCGGAGAGGAGGAGGGGCAGGAAAGCACCGCTGGGGGAAGAAGCGGGGGAGGAGAGAAGCTTGGCTGCCGCAGAACCAAGCTTCTGCCTCCTGCCCCCGCAGGGCAGAGCAGTGGGAGGGGGGGCTCAGTGGGGCAGGGGCCGGGACCGTGGCAGGGAGCTGCGCACCACTCAGAATCGGCTCGAGTGCTGTGTTTGGCACACGTGCCGTAGGTTGCCGACCCCTGGCGTAGAGCTTCAGTTTGTAGCGAAGTCCCTCCAGAGGTAAGAAGCAGGATTGAAGACAAGATGGAGATGAGGCATCAGCCTTTTATAGTCCTTTCCAGGTGTAAGATCACCTCTTTGTTCTTACTGTGGAAAATTACAGCAAAATGGAGTCTGGAGTCACATGGGCCAGTCCCTGCATACTTTGCGGAGTTGCAAGGCGTATTTGTCTTCTCTCAATGGGTCAATTGTATAGCTGAGGGTCCTTAATGGGCCATCAAGCAGGCTAGGCAGAGCTAACACCAACTTCTCTGGGATATCTCCCAGAAGCATAGCATAAGTTTGAAATACAGACAGTATAGAGCCAATATTCATAACTTCAATTACAAAACTGATACACACATATAGACAGCATAATCATAACCAACAAACCATAACCTTGTCTTAGACACCTCATTTGACCCCCTTTATAAAAGATTTGGTGCCACTACAGGACTTTGGTTGCAACCATGTTCTATATGGTCCCAGATTATGTCAATAACGTCACAGGCATATTTACCACTAATAATCAAAGATCAATTAATTGCCAAAATTACACTATCCCACCATCCCATCCCCTCCATAAACTTATCAAGCTTAGTCTTGAAGCCAGATATGTGTTTTGACCCCTCTACTCCCCTTGGAAGGCTATTCCAGAACTTCACTCCTCTAATGTTCTTGTAACTTTGTCAGACTGAAACGGTTGGGGTTGAAATTTCCCCAGCCAGGGGTCGGCCTCAGGCTGAACTTTCTGAGGTGTTTCAGCTAACGCGGCTCAGCAGTTGCTCAGAAAGGGAGGTGGGGAAAATACTCGGTTTTCCCATGATAAAATGAAGCTGTTTAATTGAGAAGCTCCCTGCCTCGGAGCAGAGACTTGACCCTTGGCCAGGAGGTCGCCCTGGGGTCAGGGAGGTGCCCTTTGCCTTTCCCATGACTTGCAGCCCCATTTGGCTGATTGGGAAGCCCCTGGGAATGGCAGGACCCACATGCCCAGCAGAGGCTTGGAGTTTGGCAGCATTATTCTGCGAGGAATCCCTCTGCACCGCGCCTGCTCCATCCCCTCCTACGTGCCGACCGGCCTGCGCGCACCTTCGCCACAGAGCGACTGAGCCTGCTCCAGCCTGGGGCCACAGGGGCAGAGCAGGATTTTCCTGAAATGGCTCCTCCCGGCCAGCAGGACCTGCGGTGGCACTGGGTGTGGGAATGGAGCTCCCGGAGACGGTGCCTCTGGTGCTCCCAGTGCTCCCCTGCCCGTCCCAGGCAGCCTGGAGGAGGAGGAAGCCACCTGAGTGAAATGTGCAGAGGGGGCAAGGAGGGGGTGGGGGATGGGTGCAGAGGGGGTAAGAAGGGGGTGGGGGATGGGCGCAGAGGGGGCAAGGAGGGGGTGGGGGGATGGGTGCGGAGGGGACAAGGAGGGGTGGGGGATGGGTGCGGAGGGGACAAGGAGGGGGTGGGGGGATGGGTGCAGAGGAGGTGGGGGTGATGGTATCTTGCCCCGCCAGAGAGAGGGATGGACGACGTCCTCCCAAAGCTCTCAGGGGCTGGGAGTCAGGAGACCGCGGCTCTGTCCCAACTGGGGGCTGCTCTGAGTGCTGGCAGCCTGCCCAGGGCCTGGAAGCCCAGTCAGACGGCCATAGTGAAATGGGCCGGGACCCGCCCTCCCCCTGCCAGTGCCCGTACAGTGAGCGTGCTGCCCATGGCACCCAGCACCGCGCGCACCGCGGCATCTAGGGGCTGCCCGGTGGCCAAGGCACTCCCCAGAACTGTTCCCCAGGCGGGCGGGGGCGTTGGGTTCTGGGCACCAGGGGACCAGACAGATGCTGCCGCGGGGGAGCTCGGGGAGCGCGGCCGGCCCCATGGGCGGGTGCTGCACATTGCAGGGGGGCGGCAGCTCTGCTCGAGCGGAGGTTGAGTGTCGCTGGCTGTTTAAAGAGGAGTGTCTGAGTGCTCTGACATCCACAGCCTGGCCTGAGATATGCTGTGCCTCATGGCAGGACAGGGTGGGGCTAGTGGGCCACATGGGGGGTCATTTGAGTGGGGGGCCCAAGATACAGCCCCCCTCATAAAATGGGTTTACACGACCACCCAGTTCTCATCATGCTGTTTGCCCTGATTGGGGGGGGGGGCAACCTGAACTGAGCCCAGAGAGTGGGAGGCACATGTGCAGCCAGGCTGGGGCTCCGTGGAGCCAGTGGGTTTGCAGGCAGTCTGGTGTCACAGTGAGCCGAGCTCTGCAGCGGCTCCATTTGGCAGTTTTGCCCGAGACTGAAATCTGGGGTTGAGGGCGACATTTTCAAGGGCTGTAAGAGCCACGTGCAGACGCTGCCGTTCCTGCAGGGGGTTGCCAAGGAAACGAGCATGGAGCAGAGGGAAGAACAAAGCCTCCAGCACCCAATTAGGAGAATCCAAGCAGGCTGCTCAGGGCTGGACGGCAGCAGACTGGACCCTTTGAGGTTCACGGGCCTCTCTCCTCCTGTCGCAGGCACAGCTCTGTGTGATGGGATCCCCGGTACACCCTGGAACTGGGATACTGCTGTGCCCCCTTCACTCTCCAGCCTGGGCTGTCTCTCACAGTGCTTTGCTAGTAACAAGCAGCAAACCCCTCCAGGCGCTGTGATCACTCAGCACAACAGCATGTGGAGCCCCCCACCCAGCTAGATTGCATGAATGCTCCCAGAGCCGCATACGAATCATACAGAGAAAGGCACCAGCCAATCTCCCAAGCCCCTCGCCTTGCACCTCGGAACTGTACCATCTTACCCTGGTCAGAAGCCTGGCCAGTGTAAGTTTATTACCCAGCCCACCCCTCCCTCGATGTGGAGAGGACACACACCAGCCTTTATAACCTCAGCTGAGATTTCCCAAGACTTCAACCAAAACACCCTGTTTTCTGTAAAATATAAAACAGATTCATTAACTACAGAAAGATAGTGATTAAGTGATTATAAGTGGTGGGCACAAAAGGTCAGAGATCGTTACCAAAGAAAATAAAAGGTAAGTGCACAGTCTAGATCTTAAACCTTATTACACTAGGCAGTATTTGGATCAAGCAGTTTTCTCACCACACTAGAGGTTACAGTTCTTAACACACAGGCTTCCCCTTTTACGCCTGGGACCAGTCTCCTCAGCTGAAGTCTTTGTCCTCCCAGCGTTCTTGTTGTTTCCAGCATAGGTGGGGGAGGAGAAATGCGAAAGTATGATGCCACAGTCCCCTCTTTTAGCAGCTCCTGATGCTTTTTCCTCTGTCTTCCTTCTCACCCAGGATGCGGCTTTGAAAATTCTCACCAACACCAACACCAAGGAGCCCTGTGAACATAAACACTTTATAACACGTCGTGCTGTCCTAACCTCGCCTGTCTGGTGGGGCCCCGCATTGTCCTCACCAGGTCAGTGGACTGGGCACTTCCATCTCTCTTGATCAGCAATTCCAAATGCCCTCTCTGCCCTCTGAGCGGAGACGGCCCTGTGGGCTCATAGATCGGGCCTGGAACCTGGGTTCTGATCCTGGTGGGGATTCTCCATTGTTCTCAATGGGGCCGGGGTGGGAGGGTTTCTCCAGGGTTCTCAGTGGGAGCTGGGCACACGTGATCATCTGACCCTTCCAATTCAGCTCTGCTCCTCCCCCTTCGGCTGGAGGCTCTTTGAGGCAGGGCCTGCAGCTGCCTGTGGAGGGACGGTGCCCGACCTCCTGCGGGCACCACCCCAATACACATGCTAATCACACTGTGCCAAGTGGTGGTAACCACGGTATTGCCCGGCTCCTTGCCTGTCTCTCAGTGACTCCAGCCCAGATACACTCGCTTCACACGGAGACTGATGGCTTTTCTAGCTCCAGCCCCACGCGCTGCCCTGGGATCTGAGAGTCAAGCTGGGTGTTATGGAGGCGATCACATGGGGTCCTGCAATGCCCACTCGTGCTCGATGGTTGCGGTAGAAATGCACTGAGCCTCCCTAGGCCTCCATGTCCCAGCTGCTCAGTGTGGCTAATGATTTGACCTGCCTGGCTAGCGGCTCTTTGTGCAGGGCTCTGGGAGTGCAACGTACCCTTAACGCTGCTCGGGGCAGAGCTGGGACTGAGCTCAGGACTCCCTGGCTCCCGCCCATGTGCTGAATCATAGGACTGGAAGGGACCTCGAGAGGTATCTAGTCCAGTCCCCGGCACTCGTGGCAGGACTAAGGATTAACTAGACCATCCCTGACAGGTGTTTGTCTAACCTGCTCTTAAAAGTCTCCGATGATGGAGATTCCACAACCTCCCTAGGCAATTTATTCCAGTGCTTAACCACCCTGAGAGGAACTTTTTCCTAATGTCCAACCTAAACCTCCCTTGCTGCAATTTAAGCCCATTGCGTCTTGTGCTATCCTCAGAGGTTAAGAAGAACAATTTTTCTCCCTCCTCCTTGTAACAACCTTTTATGTACTTGAAAACTGTTATCATGTCCCCTCTCAGTCTTCTCTTTTCCAGACTAAACAAACCCAATTTTTCAATCTTCCCTCATAGCTCATGTTTTCTAGACCTGTAATAATTTTTGTTGCTCTTCTCAGGACTTTCTCCAATTTCTCCACATCTTTCCTGAAATGTGGCGCCCAGAACTGGACACAATACTCCAGTTGAGGGCTAATCAGCGCGGAGTAGAGCGGAAGAATTACTTCTTGTGTCTTACTTACAACTCTCCTGCGAATACATCCCAGAATGATGTTCACTTCTTTTGGAACAGTGTTACACTGTTGACTCATATTTAGCTTGTGGTCCACTATGACACTCCAGAACCCTTTCTGCAGTACTCCTTCCTAGGCAGTCATTTCCCATTTTGTGTGTGTGCAACTGGTTGTTCCTTCCTAAGTGGATACTTTGCATTTGTCCTTATTGAATTTCATCCCATTTACTTCAGACCATTTCTTCAGTTTGTCCAGATCATTTTGAATTATAATCCTGTCCTCCAAAGCACTTGCAACCCCTCCCAGCTTGGTATTGTCCAGAAACTTTATAAGTGTACTCTCTATGCCATTATCTAAATCATTGACAAAGATATTGAACAGAACAGAACCCAGAACCGATCCCTGCGGGACCCCACTTGTTATGCCCTTCCAGCATGACTGTGAACCACTGATAACTACTCTCTGGGAACGGTTTTCCAACCAGTTATGCACATACCTTATAGTAGCTCCATCTAGGTTGCATTTCCCTAGTTTGTTTATGAGAAGGTCATGTGAGACAGCTTTACGAAAGTCAAGATATACCACATCTACTGCTTCCCTCCTATCCACAAGGCTTGTTACCCTGTCAAAGAAAGCTATCAGGTTGGTTTGACATGTTTGTTCTTGACAGATCCATGCTGACTGTTACTTATCACCTTATTATCTTCTAGGTGTTTGCAAATTGATTGCTTAATTATTTGCCCCATTATCTCTCCGGGTACAGAAGTTAAGCTGACTGGTCTGTAACTCCCTGGGTTGTCCTTATTTCCCTTTTTATAGATGGGCAAATATCATGCCACTTTCCAGTCTTCGGGAATCTCTCCTGTCTCCCATGACTTTTCAAAGATAATCGCTAATGGCTCAGCTATCTCCTCAGTCAGCTCTTTGAATATTCTGGGATGCATTTCATCAGGCCATGGTGACTTGAAGACATCTAACTTGTCTAAGTAATTTTTAACTTGTTCTTCCCCTATTTTAGCCTCTTCTGATCCTACCTCATTTTCACTGGTGTTCACTATGTTAGACGTCCAATCACCACCAACCTTCTTGGTGAAAACCGAAACAAAGACGTCATTAAGCACCTCTGCCATTTCCACATTTTCTGTTGCTGTTTTTCCCCCTACTAGTGTGTGCTGCATCTAGGGCACCCACAGCCTGACCCCCGTCCAGCCCCAGCCCTGCCACTGGCTGCTCCCAGTTCAGGTCACATCTGGGCAGGGGTCAGTGCCACATCCAGTCCCCAAAATGTCCCCAAATATTGAGACTTTACAGGTAAACACACGTCAATCATCGCCTGGATTTGCCCCCAATACAGTGTGGGGTTCCCTCAACCCCTTTGCATCTTTTCTAGTCATGACCCCTGAGAACATGGAGGCAAGTGTAGATAGTGCAGCAGCGACCCCAGTGAGCAATGCCCGGCCCGTGCCGGAACCCAGCACCCAGGAGGAGCCAGCGCCACGTGCGTATTTCCCAGAGACATGGCTGTGGGACCTGGTGCCTGTGGGGTGAGTGAGGAGCTGTCACAGACCGTCCCTGCGGAGCGACCTCCAGGCCAGACCCTCGAAAGCAGCAGCTCCCAGAGGCAGCGCACTGGCTGGGGGAGGGCTGGCTGCCCGTGTGGGGCTGGTTCCTGTGCCCTCTTGCCAGCGGAGAGGAACCCAGCACAGCAACAGGGAATAACAAGCCCCCAAGCTCGTGGGATTCGTCTCTTTACAGATGTAATGAACCCACAGAGCGGGGGAGAGGGCTGGGAACCGGGGCAGCACTGAGACCCTGTGTCTCACCAGCAGAGCGGGGTTCGCGCCAGCCCCTCCCTGCACCCTGTCGCGGTCGGCAGGGGGTTTATCATCCTGGCCCCATTGCCCTTCGTGGTGTTGTCATTCCCATGCGGTGCCTGGAAGCTCCAACACTGAGAACATGGGAGGGGTTTGAACCCCCAGGAAGGGGGCATGGAGGGTGGCACATGGGGTACAATTGGGAGGGGCAGGGGATCCCGAGCAGGGGGAATTCAGGCTGACACCCAGGAATAGCCCCCTGACAGGGAGATCTGTCTGACTGCAGAAGGGGGGATCCCCATCCCGTGGAACATTGAGCCGAGCCCGGAGAGTCCCAGGGCAAGGAAGGATCCTGCGCTAGCTGGCGTGGGCGGAGGAGGGGACAAGAGGGGGGCACTGACAGCTCTTCCCCTCTCTGCTGTCTGAGATTGGCCTGTTTCTGTGCCACCGGCCCAGGGCCCCAGCCCAGCAGAGGGTCGGGCAGCGATGTCTCCGGTGGCCGTGCTTCTGGGTGCTTCCCACGGGGCGGCCGCGTGTCTGACGCTCTGTTTGTGTCTGTCCCGGCCCAGTGAGGTGGGTTCCAAGGACATCCCAGTCTCGGTGCCCGACACCATCACGGAGTGGAAAGCTGGGATGTTCTGCACGGCCGAGGTGGGCTTTGGGCTCTCCGCCATGGCCACCTTCACGGCCTTCAAACCCTTCTTTGTGGAGCTGGCCTTGCCGTACTCCGTGATCCGGGGAGAGGCCTTCGCCCTAAAGGCCACCGTCTTCAACTACCTGCAGCAGTGCATCCAGGTGAGCGCCGCCCCGGGCTGAACTGCTGGAGCTGCTGGGGCTGGTGACCTGGGGCTGGGGAGCTGGGCAGCGGCACAGGCCGGCGAGTGGCACCGGCAGTCACTAGCTGTGACCCTGTGACCACTGGGGTCAGCACATCGCGGTGAGGGGGCCTGAGCCCCAGAGGGGTCACATCTCAGCTGGAGCTGGCGCGTGTGAGCGCGTCCCCCACAGCCCTAAGGGGGATCTCGTGTTGGGCCCCACAGGTGCGAGTGACGCTGGCAGAGTCTGCGCAGTTCCAGGTGCTGGCGGGCGAGGACGGCGCCTACACCAGCTGCCTCTGTGCAGACGAAGGGAAAACCTTCCAGTGGGAGGTGACGGCGAGCAGCCTGGGTAAGGGGCGCTGGGGGCTCTGTGCCGGAGGGGAGGGGCAAGGAAGGGGTGGGGGCCTCTGCACAGTGTGGGGGCAGAGAAGGGGTGCTGGACCCTTTGCACTAGAGAGGCAGGTAGGGGCCTTTGGAGGCTCTGCATGGGAGGACAGACGGGTAAGGGGCATTGGAGGCTCTGTGCTGGGAGTGAGGAGGAGGGCACAGAACAGGGTCACTGAGGGCTTGGTGCTGAGGGGAAGGGGAGGGGATGGGAAGAACTGTGGGAGGTGGAGGAGAGGAAACCCCAGCAGAGAAACCCCTTACGGCCTACTCACCATTTCCCCCAGTCACCACTTCCCTCCGTCCTTCCCTTCCCCTCTGGCCTTCTCTCTCTTTTCTCCCCTTGTCAAGGCTGAATCCCCACTCTGGCACGCCGAGTGCAGAAGTGGGGCCCACAAGGATTCTAAACATTAATACTGGCCACTCCAGGCTTCTATTAAACTCCCAAGGTTACAGCTTTTCCCTGACCTTAGCTCGGTAAATGCTGCCACCACCCAAATGCAAAAAGACCCCTTGGACCCAGGAAGGAGCACTTGGGAATTCCTCCCTGTGGGGTACCCTCAAGCCCTTTCACACACACCCCTCTGGGGAAGAGGTGAGAAAGAAAACAAAGGAAATTAGCTGTGGCTACCAGCTAATCAAACAACATGCCCAAACCTCTTAGGACACCAAAAATCCAATCCTGTTCATTAAAAAGGTAAATTTTATTAAAAACAAAGACGAAGAAATACAACTGGAACTTAGGCTTTTGCTAGATTTTAAAAGAGCAATTCCAAAAATTAAGCACCCAAAATAGCTGTCTTGGGGGTTCAACTCAAAGGTTACAAGCAAACAAAAGCATCTGGGGTTAGCACAGAGGAGTCCACAAGCCCTTTTCTTTACCTGGGGGACTTTTTTAACCCTTACAGGTAAAGCAACCAGAGAACAGCTACCAAGAGGGATTTTACAGCTAACTGGCTGGCTGGGTATCCATCAAAGGGAGCCACACACTTTATTTATCACACGCCCCCCAAATCACAGCCGGTGCCGGCCAGCCTGGTTTAGGATGGGATTTCTTCCTGGAGGTTTAGGAAACAGAGTTAATAAGATACATGCACCTCTAATGTCACTAATAATTATATCAGAGGGGTAGCCGTGTTAGTCTGAATCTGTAAAAAGCAACAGAGGGTCCTGTGGCACCTTTAAGACTAACAGAAGTATTGGGAGCATAAGCTTTCGTGGGTAAGAACCTCACTTCTTCAGATGCAAGTAATTATATGAAGAACCAAACAGTACTTTTTACATTTCAAGGACTACAATGACTTAGAATGCAGAGACATTTTTACCTGGCTGATTTTGGGAAACCTTCCCAGGAGAGTGCATCAGCCACTTTGTTAGAGGCTCCTGAAACGTGTTGTATTTTAAAATTAAAGTCTTGAAGAGCTAAAGTCCACCGAAGAAATATTTTGTTAGTTTCTGTGACTGAGTGAAGCCACTTCAGTGCAGCATGGTCCGTCTGCAGGTGGAACTGCCATCCCCAAACCATAGAATCATAGAATATTAGGGTTGGAAGAGACCTCAGGAGGTCATCTAGTCCAATCCCCTGCTCAAAGCAGGACCAACACCAACTAAATCATCCCAGCCAGGCCTTTGTCAAGCCGGGCCTTAAAAACCTCTAAGGATGGAGATTCCACCACCTTCTTAGGTAACCCATTCCAGTGCTTCACCACCCTCCTAGTGAAATAGTGTTTCCTAACATCCAGCCTAGACCTCCTCCACTGCAACTTGAGACAATTGCATCTTGTTCTGTCATCTGCCACCACTTAGAACAGCCGAGCTCCATCCTCTTTGGAACCCCCCTTCAGGTAGTTGAAGGCTGCTATCAAATCCCCCCATACACGCCAAATGTATGGGCGTAGGTTCTCCAGAGCATAGACAATGGCGTAACATTCTTTTTCTGAGACTGACCAGTGACTTTCCCATTCAGAAAGTTTTTTGCTGTAGTGTGGTACAAATCATCGGTAATACCTGGCGAAGCCCAAGAAGGATTGGACCTGCTTCTTTGACTTAGGGACAGGCCAATTTTGGATAGCATTTACCTTAGCCTGTAGGGGGTTGATAGTACCTTGACCCACTTGGTGTTAAAGGTATGTTACCCTGTTTAGGCCTATTTGACACTTTTTGGCCTTTACGGTTAATTCTGCCTCCCTTATGCGCTGGAAGACAGCCTGAGGGTGTTCCAGGTGTTCTGCCCATGAATCTGAGAATATAGCCACATTGTTAAGGTAGGCAACTACAAATTCCCCAAATCCAGACAGAAAGTTATCTACCAAACTCTGGAAGGTGGCGGGTGCATTTCACAGTCCGAAAGGGAGCACATTAAATTCATACAGCCCTACATGGGTGATGAAGGCTGACCTTTCCTTTGCTGGGTCATCTAGCGGCACTTGCCAGTACCCCTTACTTAAGTCTAAGGTGGAGATGAACTGGGAACATCCCAGTTTCTCCAACAGCTCATCTGTGCATGGCATTGGATAGTTTTCTGGGCGAGTTACAGCATTTAGCTTACGGTAGTCTACACAAAAGCAGATTTCTCCATCTGGTTTGGGAACCAGAACCACTGGAGATGCCCATGCACTCTCAGAGGGGCAGATTACACCTCTCTGTAACATGTCCTTGAGCTCCCTTTCTATTGTGGTTTTGGCTTAAGGAGCCATCCAGTAGGGGGAGGGATAGCTCAGTGGTTTGAGCATTGGCCTGATAAACCTAGGGTTGTGAGTTCAATCCTTAAGGGGGCCGTTTAGGGATTTGGGGCAAAAATAATCTGTCAGGGATGGTACTTGGTCCTGCTATGAAGGCAGGGGACTGGACTCGATGACCTTTCAAGGTCCCTTCCAGTTCTAGATTTCTATTATTCTAACTGGGCGAGCATCACCTGTGTCAATGGTGTGGTACACCTGTTCTGTCTGTCCTGGCGTGGCTGAAAGCATTGGCGTGAAGCTGGTGCACAGCTCCTGGATTTCCTCTCGCTGCTTATCCCCAAGGGTCATGGAGAGGCTCACCTCTTCTATGCCACCATTGCTTTTCCCTTTATAGTAGACTCCTTCAGGCCACTCAGCATCATCTCTCTCCTGGGCTGTAAACTGGAGAACTTTGATTTCTCTGGAATAAAAGGGCTTTAGAGAATTACCATGGTATACTTTAGGTTTTAGGGTAGGGTCTGGGAACACTATGAGGTAATTAACAGCTCCCAGGCGCTCTCAGACCATAAATAGCCCCTCCCACAATGCTTCCATCTTATTGGCCTGGAGCGCTTTCAGGACCATGACTTGGTCACCTACTCTGAAGGAACGCTCTCTGGCATGTTTATCATACCAGGCCTTTTGCTCTTGTTGAGCATCCTGTAGGTTTTCTCGAGCAAGGGCTAGAGAGTCCTTGAGGGTGTTTTGCAGGTTGGTTACAAAGTCCAAAATGTTAGTTCCTGGAGAAGATGTAACCCCCTCCCATTCCTGCTTCACCACCTGTAACGGCCCCATAACTTCGTGGCCATAAATGAGTTCAAAGGGTGAAAGTCCCAAACTGGGAGGTGGTACAGCCCTGCAAGCAAAGAGTAACTGCTGCAACACATTGGAGTGCTCATTCACGAATTTACGTATCATGGCCCCCAAAGTCCCATGAAACTTCTCCACTAGGCCATTCGTTTGATGGTGGTAAGGGGTGGCAACCAAGTGGTTCACCCTATGAGCTTCCCAAAGAGGTTTCATGGTCCCTGCCAGGAAGTCAGTTCCCGAATCTGTAAGGATGTCAGAGTGCCAACCTACTCTGGCAACGATGTCTGCCACTGCCTGGCTCATGCTTTTAGCCCTGGTGTTGCTTAGAGCTACTGCTTCCGGCCATCGGGTAGCAAAATCCATGAAAGTCAGTATGTACAGCTTTCCTCTGGGTGTCTTCTTAGGGAAAGGACCCAGAATATCCACACTACATGCTGAAATGGAAACTCAATTATGGGGAGGGCTGGAGAGGGGCCTTGACCTGGTCTTGGGGCTTTCCCACTGTCTGGCACACCTCACAAGACCAGACATAGGTAGAAACGTCCTTGCCCATCCCCTCCCAGTGGAATGACTTCCCCAAATGGTCCTTGGTCCTGTTCACCCCAGCATGGCCACTAGGGTGATCGTGGGCTAAGCTCAAGAGCTTTTCCCTATACTTAGTTGGAACTACCAACTGTCTCTGAGGATGTCAGTCCTCCTTGTGCCCACCAGAAAGGGTCTCCTTTTGTAAGAGTCCTCCTTCTATAACAAACCTGGACCTGTTAGAAGAGCTGAGAGGCGGTGGGTCATTCTGTGCCGCCATCAAAGCTCCCTTGAGTCTCTCATCTGCTTCCTGCTCTGCCTGGTTCTGGTCCCTTGAGGCTGGAGACATTAGTTCCTCCCTGGGTGGTGGACCTGGGCTTGCTTCCACTGGAAGCGATGCAGGTGATGGGGTTGTTTCCGTTGACTGTGAACCGCTCTCCACTGGTGCACTAGGTTGTATTTCAGGCTCTGGTTGAGCCTCTTGCACCGGTTTAGCTGCTGCTGTAGGTGCAGGCTCTGTGGCCCCCTTTGGTGCTGGCTCCCCGACTCTGGTGGGGTTGCAAGCATGGGCTCTGGTGCTGACTGCTCCACCAGTTCCGATCCTTGGGCTGGTTCTGGCTGGGTTCCAGGAACTGAATTTACAACTGCTGCCATAGACTCTGGTCTGGGGTCTGGTTCCACCATCTCTGGCTGGGTCCCCGGGCCTGTGGTATCTGGGGACACAGACTGGGCTCTTGTAGGAGGCTCAGGAATGGAGTTAGGTGTGGAGGCCTGTTTAGCCTGGCTGCGGGTGACCATCCCCACCCTTTTTGTTAGCCTCACGTGGTTGGCTAAGTCTTCTCCCAGCAGCATGGGAATGGGATAATCGTCATAGACTGCAAAAGTCCGTATTCCTGACCAGTCCTTCTACTGG